ATGAAGGATCCAGCAATTACCATAATTTAATAATTTTGCAGAGGAAACACAGTAAAAATAAAGTATTGGCATAGTTAATCTTGCGCACGAATTCGCCATGACTCAGTGTGGATGGATGTGGAGGGCGGTGTGAGGACCATCAGGAAGCCAGATTCAAACCTGGAAGTGGCAGTAACTATTGGAAGTCAGACTACAGTGCACAGACACTCCCCTACCCCAATCTCAATACTTTTTCTCCAAATATGGAACTGCTGGAAAATACAAATGAAACAAAACATAAAAGCAACAATATTTTTTAATCAATGAAAAGAGACATCTTATTATTCATCCCCATATAAGAAGTTTGAAAAGAGTCAGTACTTCTGGCCACCTGTGCTGATACCCCTTCCTCTACCTACTCCCCAGACAATGGCCTATGTCCCTAACTTTAAACTCCACAAAGAGGAAATAACTGTACATGTATAACAGTTATTTGTTGGACTGACACACACATTTCTTAAGACAATTTTAAGGACAATATAATTTATTTACAAATACGGTAAATAATGAAGGGTCTCCTTTCTTTCAAAACAATCTCCCAATGGGAGAGGTAGAGATCTGTCTTGTTTTTTATATCAAAATCCCTATGACATAGAGGTTCACTGGAAATAGTTTGTACAATGTTTTACACAAATGGATTAGCTGAGATAAACACTAAGAGGGAACTGCTTAAGCTTTAATTCTCTTTATTTATTTATTTATCTATCTATCTATCTATATGTAAAAAAGCCTAATATGCAAAGTGTCCCCTTGGGAGTTCAAACAATTGGGAGTTAGATCGCTCGCTATGACGTGTGTTGACCACCAGGGGGAGGTGTGGAATGAAGGAAGGCCCTAGCTGGCAGCAGAGAAAGGGAGGCCCTGGCTGGGAGCCAGCAGCCACTAGGGACACTACCTGTGCACAAATTATGTGCACTGGGCATCTAGTACATGATAAAAAGTTTGATAATGCCAAACTTTTACAGTAAGGAAAATATAAACACTGTTCCAAAATCATCAATCACATCCAAACGATTACTTCAAACTGGCTACTAAATTTATTCAATAAGTTTTAGGAACCATTTAGAAATAGTCTACTTCACAGCTTTACTCTTTAAAAGCTTTCATATATATATATGGAATGTCTGTTTCCAAATACATAAACTCTCTCACTAGAACTGAGACCAAATATACAACAGATTACCCTAGTCCTGTGGTCGGCAAACTGCGGCTCGCAAGCCACATGCAGCTTTTTGCCCCCTTGAGCGTGGCTCTTACACAAAATACCACGTGCGGGCGCACGTACAGTGCAACTGAAACTTCGTGGCCCATGCGCAGAAGTCGGTTTTCGGCCTGGGCGAGTCTATTTTGAAGAAGTACTGTTGATATTTGGCTCTGTTGACTAATGAGTTTGCCGACCACTGCCCTAGTCCTATGAGACCATCAAGAGGTGCCGGAGGAAGAGAGGAGGGAGAGATTCCTTTCCTTACCTTTTTACTTGTAAGCCACAGGTGATTCTCAGGGAAACACTGAAGCTAGCCATGTTTGTCTGCTCCACCTTCTTATCTCCCCTTCACCATTTAGTCCTACTTTCGAGGCGTCCTAGCCAAATGTGACCCTAACCCCCTCTCACCTGGCTTCATACTTGGTCAGATCTATTCACTCTCCACAAGTACTCAAAAATTTAGCATTTCTTACCTCTTCAGTCCAAATAGACAGATCTGATCAAATAATGGAATGATACCCTCTCCCCTGGGAAACTGACCTTTAGCCCATTTCACAACATTCCCTTTCCTTAGACCGCATTCCATTTGCTAAGACCATTATCTTTCTCCTCTGGACTTGCCCAGGATCCAGACTGCCTAGAGAATTCCCCTCCGCAAAAGCCCACCTAGTATCCTTTAAAATCTCTGACTCCCTGGTCCCAAGCTGCTGGCGCCATTTTGGGGTTCAGCCCACCTGTTTCCAGATGACCTAATAAATTCATAATTATTTACCATTTCTGGCCTCATGTGTATCTCCTTTGGCGACCTTAATAGACTCTAAGTTTGAAATGGCCCAGTGTATCTAGTAGTTTCACAACCTCAGCACTATTAAAACTGGGCCTGTCTTACATTGTAGGATCCTTAGCAGCAGCATCCTGGGCCTGTAGACACTAGAGGCCAGTAGTAGCTCACACAACAGGTTGGAACAACTGACTATAACTCCAGATATTGCCAAATGCCCCAGGGCAACATTGCCCCTGGTTGGGAACCCCAGATGTAGTACAACAGCAGCCCCATGCACCCATGAAAGATGCTGTGCCATCACCCATAACATGTGTGTCTCATTTCAAAGATCTGAAAACAGTTCATTATGTTATCAGCAGTCATACCTTTTTTTTATAAGGAAAAACAAAAAAAAAGTAAAACCACATCCTACTCTTGCATTGTTTAACTCTTCAGCCAAAAACAAAACAAAACCTTCCATCCCCTCGGTGTGGCTGATTTCAATGAATACGATATGGTGGCTGATTGTTGGTTCTGGTCCATTGTCAGACTGCCTGGACTCAAACCCTAGCTCTGTCACTTCCCAGCTCTGGGACTTTAGTCAGGATTCCTGACTTCTCCACGACTCATCCGTACAATGTCCACAATAATAAACATCACTGCAGAGGCTTCCTAACTGACGGGGGTACAGGAAGCCTGGCATCTACTTGCTGCTGCGGTATGGCCACGGCAGAGCTAGAGGATCTGCTCCAACAGCAGAGCCAGCGGAAAGCAGCTCTGGAGGGAGTGGCAGCCTTGTTTCCTGCACACACACACGCCACCCCCACAGCAGCCAGGCAGTCACATAAGAATGACGCCAGCGGATGTAATACAAAAGAGGCCCCATGCAGAAAGCCCCAGAAGGTGTCCTCAAGTCCTTGGTTTGTGATTCCATTCGTTTCCAGGTTCCAGCTGCCATTTCCCTCAGTTTGGCTGCTAGATTTTCCTCAGGTTTTAAAATACTCTCATTTCTTTCAACCAACTTTCCCTTTACCTGTTTAGCTGATCTGGGTTTCAGTCATTTGCATTTAAAAGAGTTCTGAATAATAAAACTTCTAAGCTTCAGATGAATACATAAATCTGATGCAAAGGATAACAATATATATAAAAGAACTTTCCAATTCTATACAACTTGGTCCAAAATGCTACTGATTTATTCTAGAGGCACTATTTCAAAGTAATTGATAAATATATTTAGAACAGTAAACTGCGAGTCTAACGATCAGAATTTAGGAGTTTAAAAGCTAAAGAATTTTCTTTTAGTTTACTTTTTATTGCAATCCTTGGATTCAAACTAAATATTGTAGATATTCATTGAGTAAGCTAAGGAGAAATTTAATACATAGAAACAAAATGTAATTTACTTCCAGTGTTCATGATATTTCTGGTGGGATTTTGTGGCAGTGAGCTCTTACGTTGCATGTTGGTTTCAACACTGGTGAAGCATCTGGAGAGGAACTCACTCTTCCTGGCCGGCGGTCTGCGGCATGTCTGAGCTCACAGAGGCACTAACTACAGCAGACCATTCCCACAGAGCACTTGAAGTTTTCGTAATTAAAACAGAAGCCAAAAGAAACACAACTATAAACTCTGCACTACAGTTAATACACTAGTTCTCTCTAGAAAGTTCCTACCAGATGCGGTTGCTTTCTTTCCTCTTTTAAACTCCAGGGCTTCCCAATGCTGTCTCCTCTGCCTGG